GTGGCACGGTCGTGATGACTGAAAAACCCGGTAAGAGACGGCAGTCGATTGCTGGCAGTTGAAGAGTGAGGACGTAGAAAACTGAGTAGGAGAGTGAGTAGGGGAGCTCGGAAACGAAGAACAGCGGACCACTAGGCACCAGGGGCGCCACAGCGAAAGTAGTTCCGACCGGTGGTCCGGTAAAGTACAATCTTACCCTGCTCTGTCTCATAGTGGTCGCTCGTTACGGAAGTCCTCCCAAAAATACGATCTAGATCTAGATATCTAGATCTACCTCTCACCCCGGGTGAGACTTGCCAGCGTAGGCTATTCTCACCCGATGTGAAACAAGGCCTGTTTTTCCTCATTTCGGAGTACTGTCTATCAGTGTGGATGATCAAATTGATAAAAGCCAAGAAAAAATTATGTTATAGCACAAAAGTAAGCTAATTTGATCGTCTTCAAAAATGCTATCGCTATTTCACTTTTCGAATCGAACCAAACTACGCGGGTCGCCATTTTGTTTTGCCCGGAAGTTCTCGCAAGATGTACTCCTCCCCTCTCTCACTCTCTCTGTCTCTTTCTGAATACTGTCTATCCGTGTGGACGATCAAAATCAAATTGACCAAAACAAAGTTTTAAAATGGTGTTAAAACACAAAAGTAAATTATTTTGGTCGTCTACAAAGATGCTACAGCTATCTACTTTTCGAATCGAGCTGAACTACGCGGGTCGCCATTTTGTTTTGCCCCGAAGTTCTCACGCTACTCCTCTCGTTCTCTCTCTCTCTCTCCACTGCCCACAGACAAAATTTACGCTTTTAAGCTAACAGTAGGAATGGAACGTTTGTTTGTTCACCACACAGAATTCTACAATTTTTCTGTTTTCACAGTGCAGAATTCTGTGGTTCAGGGTGAACGCAAAATTGGTTGGCCTTGGCAGGGTTGGTGATTTTTTAAATAAAAATTTTAAAAATCCATTTAAAAAATTTTAATCGGATTTTTAAATGTCGACACAGTTTGGGATTTTTGGTGGCTAAAAGTATGTTCTTTTAGTGCAAAATGCATTGTCTTTATTTTAACTAATGATTAATTTAAGCAACTGCAAAAGAAAGCCTTATTCTGCTATATCAGTGAATTATTATTATGGCTACAGACAAAAAATGAAGAAAATGAAAGTCTAAAAGGAAAGGGGGGGGGG